AACTCACATATTGTGTTGTATCTTGCTCAATTTTTGCTCATTTTACTTTATTTTTTCTGGAATATGAGAGATACTTCAAAAGTATAATTTTTACAACTTAGATCATGTAATTTGGTTAAGTATTAGTTGAGTTATAGTAGATTTTGTATTTGAGTGTACTTAGTGTGACGAAAATCACGAATTGCACGTGTGACAATATTTATGAAAACGACAGTAATTACCCCAGCCTCACCACGTGCTTCCTTGGATAGCATAAATGATGACTTCCTGTATTCATTTAGCCAATTAGTGCGAGTCAAAGAAGGGAGTTGTTCCCATTTGTCTTTGGACTTTTTGAGACCATCTAGATATAGAAATTACAAGTCGAAAAACAAAGCAGAAGTAAGGAGTCAATACCTGGCACCTTCACACGCAACTGCTTCAAGCACTCCTGTAAAGTAAAGAACTCGTTTGGATGGCAAACAGTGAGATGTGGTTCCTGTTCCGTTCCGTGGCGTATGCGACAAGGAAGAGCAGTTGAAGGTAGTTCTGTTCAAAGAATGTTCTATGTCTCATTTTGCGCAAGAAAAGAACGCTGTACTTACCATCCGATGGAAGTAGTTTCTGTCCTATTATGGCATTCAAGAAAAGTGACTTCCTGCAGTTACCGAACTTAATGTCGTCTCTAAGCATTCCAACTCGGGAACTTACCCTGCCTTTGTCATTCCACAGACTCCAATACGAAAAATCCTCTCCTTTTCGCGCTCAATCTCGGACGCGGTCTTCTCTGCACAGGAACGGATGAGAGACAGGTACGCTGAATCCAGATAATCGACGTCTGACGGCGTATTGCGCACCCGGCCGGACGAAGATCGATTTGCCTCCCGTATGCGAGCCCGTGCTGTCGAAATATATTCGACATCTGAATACAGGAAGGTCTTTACATCCTCCAGAACGTGGACATAAGACTGCGCCACTCGATCAACACCTCGAGCATCAGGATCCTTTTCTAGACAACGCATAAGATCCTCGACACGAGTACGACCAAGGTTGTCAGCTGCTTTGATAGATGCATTCGTTGGTCCTCCAGACGTATTTATGTGATCAAGTATCTGTGAGGATGCCTCCAGAGTGGCTCCGTCTGTGAACATGTTGAACGGACGTTCACAGAAGACAAGGTCTAGCGCTGCAGACATAATTGAATAGTTCGGTGAAATTTCTGGTTGGTCAGAGGAAGCCTCCGACGCGGTCGAAGCAAGACGATTCCTATAGACGTCATGAATCGCTTGAAGGGAGCCGAAGATACGCGTCGAAAAACGTGCCAACTCCTAAGAAACAGTAAATATAGGTACATGGCAGCACCGTGAGATAACTACTCACCGAGACAGCCTGTGCGGATCTGGTTTTCAGCAGCTCGACGACTACTGCCTTTGCGGACTCAACTGCAGGTCTCAGTTGCCCAAGAGCTTGAGATGATTGTGAAATAGCTTCAGCTGGAAGGCCGAGACCAGGCGCTATGCGCAAAAGTGCCCAGGAACAGAGGACTGCATTTTGAATCTTGTCCCGAAAGCATGAGATTTGTTGACAGTAATGGTCACCCAACGCAGTACGCGAGCCGTCTACATTCTTTGCCAGCTGCGTTGCACTAGTGGCGATGTCCAGCAAGGCGGAGGACGTGTCCGTCAGTCCTTGCAGAAATTCCTCCATGTTATTCAGAGTACGAGAGGGAAATGCCGTGAGGGACGAGACAGAAATTAATTTGAGAGAAGCAGAGAGTTGTTCAGAGGCACAGGGTTTTAAGCTGTACTTCAACGTACAAATTGAGCCATGCACTCTTTCCATCAGCTGGTTTATCCGTGGATACCCTCAACCTTGACCGTAGTTCGGAAATGAGTTTGATGTGACCAGCCACATCGTCTTCATCGATGAGTCCTGGATAAAAAGTGACACGCTCTGGCTTTGAGGCGACATGGTTCGCCGTTCCGCTTCCCAAGATCGTATCTAGACGCTCATATTATTGAAATTTACCAAGAAAAGACAGATTGTGAATGATCGTAGCTAGAAGATGAACCGAAGGTCGACGGTGTGTATAGTATGGAAACCGTTATCGCTATTTAATTTTAATACAAAGAGCAAGTACTGAGTAGAAATCCGAACGAAATACAAGGAACGTCACACGATGTAAGACAAGATTGGAGGTACAAGTCCGAGCAAATTTGGGTGACGTAAGGCATGAATAAGATAGGCAAAATAAGAATCCCCCCAGACACTGTTGATTTGGAATATGTATAGGTAAGCAAAATAAATTTGCTAATTTTACTATTTATTACTAGTTTTGGACATCAAAATAAATAACAATAAAGGAAACCATACACGGAGCTCTCTCCAGGACAGATCCGGAAAGAAACATTCTTTCAGCTAGCTGCTAGCGTAGGTTGCACTTTTTCTGTCTGTATTTCACTCTACAGTGCCTGGGGTATCCTCTGTCCCCCAGGCATTCTGTAGCTTTGTAAGCACAGTGTGTTGTATATAACTGTGCCCTGTGGTAGATAGCATCCGGCCTCCCAGTACCGTGTACTGTCAACCAACCTTTGCCTCCACACAGATTAATGTTGTCTGATCATCCAGAGCCTGACTGGGATCTAGGTAAGTGCTTAACATCTTCAGAATAGTCAGTTAACAGGAATTTTCATAAAACACATAGTTCCTGATGTCAAGTTGTTTGAGACTCAATCGTCCCACATGTCTCGCAACCTGCCTAACCGTATTAAAGTGCTTGAATACATCACACCCTTGACAATGCCACCCAGCAGCTATATTCTGTGCACGAATTCGCTCGGTCCTGAACGTAGCCTGATTCAAGGGTCTGTTACACACCTCATGCCTTACGATGACGGAAGCGACAGCTCTCCTTCATCGATCGGAAATGTGGATTCGAGTTCTTCGGCTTCCATTGAAGACTATGATTGGGCTTGTGATATTACAACGGCCGCAACTCCTTCAGCAGGTACGAGGATTGCCTCGTGACATGTGCATGCATCATTGTGTTGATTTCTACGTAAAGAGAAGTTGCCTGCTGAGGTAGAAAGGTTTCTGTATCGGCTAAAGAGTGGGGCTGCTCTGGTGCGTGTTATTGATAAGCCCCTAAAACAGTTACCTAGTTTCTCTGTAGGAGGTTTCAATGCCGATGTCTCTTTACAGTGCCCACTGTACAGAAATCCAGAATTTCATTGGTTCACCAGTTTGTAAATTGACATTCTCTATTTTCATGACACGCCTTGACCTCTCCAGCAGGTTGTCTGTCGCCCCGGTTCCGATGGAATTGGATATATACACCACTGCGATGACTTCAAAAATCGAAGTATTCTCCGATCCCCTACTCCCAACAATACTCTCTCCACATCAAAGAGCTGGCCAGAGGGCAAAATGCTCTACAGTATGCATGAACGAATCAAAGTGATTTTCTCAGAGGCTGCTCGACAAATGATCAACAATGTTGTGCCTGGGTTCAATGCAACAACAAAGTATTCTAGGGATGGACGATCGTATCAGGTAGGATCTCCATTTTGTACATATTGCATTTGCTAATCGGAACCAGCTGGACGACAATCTTCACCTACTAAGGTCTCATCAGCCACGAGGCAACACTCATCCAAGGGATCCTAAGTACTGGATACCAGACGTTGCTGTTTCTGTCGATGGGGACGCTTTCTTCCTTATTGAGGTTGCGCATACCCAGAGTACACAAGATGTGGTCGCTCGGGTTCAGAACTGGTTTCTAAATAACGCTGTTCACATTACAATGGGGGTGGACATTATAGAGGGACCCTTCAGAATCGGGACGATGGCGAAAGACTGCAACGACAATATGCTTTCAGCAGAAGAATTCCACGCACAAAAACATTTAAATGAGAAGCTTGGTGGATGGTACTGGACAGTGCATGGGGCAGAGCGGGTCTTTGTAGGGCAGGTGACGATCGAGGTGTTCTTGGCCTGGCGCATGAGAGTTGACGGTGTTTGGCACATCATGACCAGAGGACCGGTACGTTTGCTGTCAAGGTTACACTTCTATGACTGAAACGCCTGATAGATCACCATGAACGGAGATCTATCAGATCTAAACAGATGCTTGGAAGAACGATTCAGGCAGCTACGCCAAGACCTTAATCTACCTGCAGCGTTAAACCTGTCTATTGATCGGGCAGAATTTGAAAGTGGTATCGTAAACGCAGTCAACGCTACTGCTTTGCAGCGGTACAAGGGTTGGTACATGGATTGCAGACCTCCGGTGGCAGAACCATGTCACTTGATGCCAGTATTGCCAGTGACTCCTTAGGTACAGTTCGTCACTCATACACTCTGGACCTTTTTCATTCTTATTTAGATGAATATTTGTCCAATGTTTCCCTTGTATGTACGATTGAACTGCTTCGTACAACTCTGTTGCCATTA